CTGCACCGGTGCCTGTGGCCAGGGCTGCACCCACAGCGGAGCAGCAGGAGCACAGGGCCCATACCTGTGTCCAGGGCCAAAAACGGCAGGGGCAGCCAAAGCGCCAGTGCCCAGGCTGGCAAGTGGGGCCAAAGAGGCCAGCAGGCAGGCGAAGGGGGGTGGGGAGAGGTGATGACAGCAAGCAGCAGTGAGTGGGGAGCTGGCATGAGAGCAGGACCCACATCAGTGCCTGGGGCCAGGACCAGCAGGGGCCCAGAGCAGGGTGGCAGGAGCACAGGCTTGGGCTGGAGCGCACATAGGCAAGCAGAGGAGAGGCAGAGGCAGTGGTGGGGCAGGCAATAACTAATTTATCATGATTTAAATTTATTTCTATGGGGAAATGGGTTTCAATTAGTATGGTTCCACTCAACACTCGGTTTTTCTGGACCCAGTTAGGAGCACCAAGTGGGCGCTGCCTATACTTGCTTTCCTATAGCTATGTACTGGAGATTTATCACCAAAATACAATTTTTAAATTATAGGTTGCCCAGACCATGTGTAACAAGATACACATTTCAGAAATAGCTCTTTATATCACTACAGTTTTAAGAGTCATACCTTTATTGCTGGGCCAGGAGTAACATCATCCATTACATGAGCACAAATATTAATGACTTTCAGCAAGTGAGAAAACAGCTGTTCTACCAAAGTTACAAGAGTTCGGTCAGCCAAAGCTGGCCAAGACTCCTCTTGTTTAGCAGCTCCTGTATTAGCATCTTCTTCAGTAGTCCAAGGGTTTTTCAAACACTTGGGAGCACTAGCTGAAATAACAAGGAGTCTGAATTATTAATGAGACAAGGAAAAGATGGTACGTCAGTTATAAACACTCAGATCATGAAGGCGCACATGGTATTCAAGCTACTTTAAGAGGTGGGTTCATTTTACATGTATTGTTATATATTAAGAGCTATGCACACATTAAGACGGTCAGGAGAACTGACAGTCTATTCTAACAGTTTCCTAAAGGACCTGGTTTATTTCAGCTAGCAGAAAAAAGCCTGAAAGGGGATAGCAGTACTCTTTCCTTCCTGTAACACTATTATAAAACACAAGAGAAGGAGACGAGCCTCCAGAACTATGCTGACACTAGAACAAGTGGATATGGACAAGCCATAAATAATTTTAGACTGAAAATTAGAAAAAAAAGTTTCTTACTGATCAGAGGAGTGAGGTTATGGGATAGTCATCCAATAGAAAGGCAAAATGCTTAATTACTCTTAAGGAGGAGTTTGATAAGTTTATGAATGAGACCCACATGATGAAGTGCTAAATCACATATTCAAAAAACAGCTTGTGTGAGAAGGCTAAGACTGATACCAATTTTCACCCTATTTCTCAAGTTATTAGTCTCTCTCAGCCGCCTACAAATCCTACCTTTGCTATCCATACAAGACTTTTTCTTCTTCGCTGCTATACAAGAAATAAGAGGGTCTCAGATGTCTGCCTGTCCAACCAGCAAAGACTAGGTGGAAGCTGCAAGGTTTATGAGACTGTTTTAGCCTCATGAAGTATAGTAATCATCATCACATGCAAGGCCTTGGTCTGTATAGTCATTTGTTTGCTAGATTTCAAATGGCCTACCATGCAGATAGGTTTGTACAATATTTTTTTAACAAGTTAAGATCCAGCATAAGTCAACACCAAAGGCAATCTATAATTGCTACCTGATAGAATGGTACAAAGTGGGATTGGGAAGAAAAGACAGGCCACAGAATCAGTTTACATGAGGAAAGCAAAATACTTTATTAAAACTAAAGCAGGGATGGCCAACCTGTAGCACACTTGCCACAAGTGGCAAAGGTATCCTGTGTGTGGGACATGGCAGACTGGGAAGAACGCAGGCAGCACAGTGACAGAGCAGGAAGCAGAAAGCAGAACAGCAGACTGGGCAGGTGAAGGGGATTAGAGTAGAATTCAGGAAGGGTGCAGGACTAATTTGTGGCACACCTGCCACACAGGTTGCCTGCTAAATCTTGCAGATTTTTTGTTGTGTATAAACAAACATAGATAAGGCATTCTGAGTAAAAAAAAAGGAGAGAGAATGATAAAGAACATGCAATGAAGCAATCCAACAATCTTTTTTCTACCTGCAAGCAAGTTTCCTGTCAAAATCAAGGCATCCTGGTGTGCAGAAAGATCCAGTGGGAACCAGGCAGATGAAAGAAGGGAGAGAACCATACCAGCCATTCCAATGGTACAGCTCTTCCGAGATTCCTCTGAAGGGCTCATCTGGGAAACGCTAGAAATTTAAAATTATTAAATGTCATACAATGCATCTTCCCAGCAAATTTTCAGCTGCTACAAACTAACGTGTGCAGTTAGAATCCTATTTCTTATGAAACAGACTATTAATAAGTGTTTAGCTTAAACAGGGTCTTTACTATTTTGAATTAAGAAAAACAATCTATAGCAAAAATTACCAGATAGTAGCAGTGATGCAATCAATAAGAGGTTGTTCAAAGCATTACTTGCTACTACAAAAAACAGCAAAACAATGAATGCTATCTTTTGACGGACAACCATATTATATAAGGGTTTGCTCATCCTGCATGCTTCTATAGCAAAGCACCATAAAACACAAAACAATAGTTTAATATCATGAAGCCTTCCCAAGGTGAATTATTGTCATGCGTTTTATCTATTGATTTACTAATTTAGTTTAGAAATAGAAAAAGCAACAGAACTACATGGATTTAAATGCATCAGAATTTAAAGCTCATACACTTATTATCTGTTCATTATTTCAGGTTTATACAAAGATAGATGGCAACGCCACTGCCTTGACAGTTATCATCACAAACCAGATTTTGCCTCGCTATAATGTTATCAAAAGGTTCAGCGTCCTTCAAGTTTCAAAAGCACTAACAACAGTTCATCTAAAGAAATCTGTCAAGGTTGAACATGAATCAGGCTAACCAATTCAGAGCTAAGACTGGCATAATTCCACTACACAAAGGTTCGGATCTTATTCTACCCTATGGGTACATCCAGATGTGCATGGACGTTTAGTTCCCATGCCACATGTGCTTTGGCATGCGGCAAGTTACCCTAGTAGTAGTATGGGAGGCTGGGGTCAGCACTGTGCTGGCTCCAGCAGCCTTACCTGGGGTTCTGGGGGCCTCCCAGTGCTGCAGCTGCAGCAATCCTGCTAGGTGGAACCTGGCCAACAGCCACAACACAGCTCCAGGTGGCCCAGCTCCACTTTTCAACAGTGCGTGCTGCCTGAGCATGCACTGCTCCATGTTATTTTTCCGCAGTTTCTTTTTTGACCCCCAGATATCCAGGGGTCAAAGTATTCTCAGGAAAAAAAACAAAACCAAAAAAAACAGAGCAGCACATGGTCGGGCAGTGTGCCGTTCTAGCGCAGAGAACACCAGACTGTGCGGTATGTGATGCTGCAAATGAGTTTCCAGTGCCACATACGGCACGACCACAATTGTCTGGACACACCCCATGAGTCCCTGAAAAGCCATGAACAAATCTACTTTTCCTCAACTTAGCCTAAAAGATGAAGTCACAAAAAACAAGGACTCGCCCAACTTATGTTATTTTTTCAAAGACTCGGAGGGTGGAATAGCACTACAGTTGACCACTCACGCATCTAATAGAGGGAATAGGATCTAACCCCACATTTTTCAGAATAAAACTGGAAAAAAAATCTTACTTCCTGTAACTTCTCAAAAACAGCTTCTTCTGGAAATGTCAAATTTGCCTCGTAGATCTAATTTAACTAAACCTAACCTACTGGAATTCAACTTCTAAAACATAAATTTATTCTGAATAGAGTTATTTTTTAGAAAGAGCTCCCAGCAGTTGCATACTACATTTATACAGTGCCCTTCATTCCAAACCAAAATATTCTTTTATTTTTATGTGCTGCATTCTACCTTAGCCATGGCAACGTTCCAGGATCTAGTTTAATACACACA